AGTTTCTTTGTAAAGGGCAAGACCTCTGTCTGCCTACTAGTTAATGCTCATTTAGATGCGACTATTTTATCTCCTTCCCTTTCTTTTTGCTGTTCTCTTTCGGAATCTCTCCCATTCTTTTGATTGAAGTTCTGAAAGTGAATTGTCATCGAAGTATTTAAAAACAGCTGATTTCTTTGGGCGGCATTGCGTTTGGACTGTATATTGGGCAATCACTATCTTTGTTGGTATGAGTGGCGATTTTCTTTTCACTGTGAATGGACCAAATGGATGGTGTTGCTAAGAAATTGTCGGATGAAGTTAAATGGCTGTACTCAGTGTCTTAGATCATCCTTGCAAGGCACATTATATTGGACTTTGCATTGATATGAGCTCAATACGCTCAAATGGCTGTTCACTGTTATAAGTGTGAACCATCTTGTTAGATAAAATTAGTTCTTCAATTTTTAAATATGCAGTTGCAAATTGCAACAATCATATAGTAACGTTGTTCTTCCATGTTTAAGCTAATATGCAATATACTAGCTGAAAGCCGAAACTTACTTGGAAAAGATTGACTATTTTGCATCAAGTGATCCAATTCTAGTTTTTAATGAGCGCACTCCCCTCAAAAGTTTTGTAAAGTGTGAAATGAGTCTTGGTGCATAACCTTTCTTTCGACAAACTATCCCGCTATAGCTAATGGCTGATTTTAGTCATAAATTGTTGTCATCCCAATCCCAAAATAATATTCAGTACCACTCCTTTTTTAGTAAAGCTTCATCTGCATTAGAAAGATCATTTACTAACTTAATAAGTTCTAGAGTTCGAATGATCCTATAGTATAAAAGTGGGTAATTACGGATGATGCTTCCTTTTTACTGTGTTCTTAGACTTTAGCTCTCGCTTCCCTTTATCGTTTCTCACCATTTTTCCAAAACAGATTCTTTACCGCTTCATTATTCGAATTTTCATGAAGTGTTGCTTGACTTCTGACTGCATTTTGTGCATGGGAAACGTGGTAATTCAAGCGGTAGCACTTGAATAGGAATATTTTTGTTTACATCTTTTTAATGCTTTCCCTTGCTTAGACTTTAATGATTTTTTCGCTTAATTAGGCTATTAGCCATCTAGTTTCGTTGCTTATTCAACTCCATCCTAGAGTGTTGCAGCTATCGTATCAGAATGTCTTCTTCTTAAAATCATTTTGCTCGGGTAACTCATCTCAAGAATTTTCCTTTTCATCATCGTCTTGTTCCTGTTTTTGCTTGTTTGGGGCTGCTGACCGTTTGGTTCAGCATTACCCTTTTGCAATCTCTTCTTATTGTGATTGACCTTTTCAACGATTTCTTTTTACTCATTCTGCACATTCATATTTCAGACTTCTTCTATGTCTTCGTCCCTTTTGACCGCTTCACCTTCATCCACGTCGGCGCCCAGCAGCAGTAAACAGCCATCATTTGATGATGCATGTTTCAAAACACCGTTGCCATTTAAGTGAGTTGATTGATTCTTTGACGTAGCTTTAAACTGTTTAATTTCCCGTGCTTTCGGCATTTGCGGTTTCCTTGTGAATTTCTCTTTGCTTAAGCTCGTTTATCGCTCCTTAAATGTTTCATTTTATGCCCTTTTCCGCTGAAATGTTGCATATGCATATCACAAACGAATGAAGAGACCGCAAATAACATTTTATGATCGTTGATGGTGCGATTTACTATGTCAATAGCCTTTTTTGCCTACATGATGAGCTTCGCTGTAATTTCATTATCATTAATAGGCTTGTAGGTAAGAAAGCCGATAAATAGCAGCTTTATTGATATAAAGCAGTTTCACATTTTTCTTTCCTTTTCCTTTTTTTCCTCTGCCAGACTTGATAAACTATCTACTGGTTGGATAACAATAAAGGGAAATAGAGGAATGAGGTTTCCTTCGACCTTTTGTATTGGTTGCGGAGCATATCATAGAGGCGGTAGAGTATCGATTCCGTTGTAATTTGAATTGTTTTTGATTGTGTGCAGAATTTTTTTGCGGAACATTTGAACAACTATATAATGGGTTCGGTTCCTTGAAGAAAATTGGAAAGATAAAAGCTTTTCCGAGTGCCATATTACGTGAAAGAGATGAAATTCTGTTACATAACGTTAACGGTCATTTGAGCTCTGTTCGTACATCATTTCGTTCCATTCTCCCGGAATTTTTTCTAGTAGAAAACCACGTGGTCGTGGTCGTGGTGCCGCGTCTGCTGCAGCTGGAGGTGGAACTCGACCCAATGGTTATCACTCAACCGGAAGTACTCGTGGACGAGGTGGCGGTCGAATGAGTACCGGTGCGAAAACCGCTGCTCCTCCGCCAGCCCCTCCTCAACCAAAGTTTGAGCTACATGACGTAGCTTGCCCTAATACGTCGGCGTATCTAGGTGAATCTCTGCTGTTTCACTTCAAACCTGCTAAGCGCATTGATCCGATTCTAATACGATTTAGGTGCATTAAATCTTCCCAAATTTGCATCAATTCAACCAAAAAGTGAAGTGAAGGAAGAAGTCGCCGATTGTGATGAGGAAAAACCGTCGACGTCAAGTCAATTAGTTAAAGAAGATGCCACGGAGGAGAGGAGTGATTCCGGGTCGGCTTCAAGTGTAATATTGATTGAGAATGGAGAATGTGAGGTAAGGAGTACTCTTTCTTATGTTATACTAAGCACAATCGTCACGAGGGGTTTTCCGTAACCGTAAAGCGCAGAAATGGGTGCTTATGGTGCAGATTGTGCCTTAAGTGATGTTGCTTAATTTTTTAGATTCACTATTCAATTAAATTTTTCTAATGATATGTATGAAAACCGCCTCACTCTACGCAAACACATAAAATTTTAATTGCAAATGACTATTTAGACTGGTAAAGAAAAAACGGGTGAACAAACTAAAGAAAATGGAGCAACTAATTCATTGGACAGTTCAGCGGAAACTGAAGTGTCATCTACGTGTTCTGGAGATGTAAGTAATCTTATTCGGATTTGATTCCTTACTTTTTATCAGTAGAAGGTTTTCAAATTTTTTCTTAATTCAAGTTACATTTCTACCATGTTATTAATTTGGAATAAGTTGTTAGAATTTTTTTTT